AGTGCCTTACTAGTAACAAGAAGCTAGTAGAAACAAGTGCATCGCTAGTTCATTCGAATTGCCTTTCAGCACCTCCCGGCCATGAACTCTGAGTCGACCAGCCTGTTGGGTGGGATGGGGTCACCTGCATCACTCTCTGCATCGGCGGCATCACATCCGTCACCATCCTCCGGTGGAAAAGATTGGAAGATAAAACTCCAAGATGACAATCCTTTGGGCTTCAAGCCCTGAACAAATTCAGGCTTTAAAAAGCTTCACAGAGCTGAACATCATTGGCCTCCTCGTCGGAGAAGGAAGTCGCGCCAAAAACCTGGAGACTCGGTCCACGGAGTCCACTGCACTGCCCGGAAAGAACCGTTGGACCAAAGTGAGTGGCCGATTGCCTGCGGCATTGGGATTGCCTGACGCATTAAACTTGAGATGCCGAAGCAAAAAAGCCTGAAAGTAGAAGCTGAACAAACTAAACCTCAGTAGATTCTCTCGACGGCTCCCCAGAGCGCTTTTCCTGCAGTGCAGCACAAGGGTACTAGTACAGTACAGTTTATCAGTGCTACGCTTCTTCCACCTCAATGCAACCCTTGGAGGTCAAGAGCGTCGGCCTCATTCGGTCGATTCCGGCACCGAATCTTCTTCGGGCCGTGTGTCTCAGGCACACACAAGGCTGAATCTTCTTCATACAGGCCTGATGTGAGGGGAGGCCATCGCTATCAGGTTCGAGGCCATCGCTATTAGGTTCAAGGCCATTGCTAGTAGGTTGGAGGTCATCGCTCTTAGGGTGGAGGCCATCACGAGTAGGTCTGAGTAGGTCACACATTCTCATGGTGTCACAAGCTTCTGAAAACCCCTTTCGAAGCCTCCAGCTGTGGCTTTGTCCTCCGCAACATTGTATGAGCCAGTCATGTTGGACAGGGTCCGGGTCAGGTTGCCCCAGCTGATTAGCAAAGAGTCAAAAGGGTGGCGCAATGTTCATTTGTTTCTCAGGTCTCCATCGTCGTGAAATATTAAGACTGCAGGTTTCTAACTGTTTGCGCCTGACATTTGACTCTCTTGAGGCAAAGAGCTGCGGAAGCAAGACCCACCGGGAACGCAGTAGGATCCAATCTCACAATACAAGCCACAACATGCGTAGGATTAAGATCTACAAGAAGAATCGATTGATCACAGTATGAAACCTTAAACTTAAACCAAATGTAACAATGCTTCCAATAATCAAAAACTTGTTGAGGAGAATGAATGCTCTCTCTCTCTCTCTCAGAATACCTGCACCGACACCTGATAAAACTTGCTCGTCACTGAAGCCGTGAACTCAGTGCTCTGAGTTGCAAAGCACGTCTGCATATGCTTCACATCTTCATGCATACTTTTGCAAGGATGGTCCAAAGCGCCAAGACTCACTGCCAAACATCCTGACTCATTGCACAAGAACTGCCAAGCAAGTTGCTGTTAGATTGAAACTTGGAGAAGAGATGAAAAATACTGTAGATGCAATACAGCAGCAATTCATCGACAAAAGCTTCGGCCTTGTACATCATGATCTCCCAGTTGTCGTGACAGGATGCACTGCTCGCAGGCACAATGGGAGGCTCCAGGCAGGGTCTGAAACCAGCAGCACCTTCATAGGCGTGCTCAAGCAAAAATCCACTGCTTCCTTCGCATCCAGATATGCAACGGATATCGCAAGACTCCAAGAGGCACCCATTTTGTTGAGCGCCGTGATGGGATCTCTTGCCAAGCATGCGTCATAGAGTTCGTACTGCACGTGGGGGAGATTCCTGTCACGAGAAGCTTTGTCTGAAGTATTCTCAAGAAAGAAATGAATATATAATTGAAAAGAAGCAGAATCTATCTGATTGAAAGTCTAGGAAAATGCGACCTCGGAGAGGATACAATCCAGTCTCCACTGTATTCTTGCCCATATCGTAGTCGAGCGTAAACTGGCAATGATGGAAACAGCAGGAGAATCAAACCAAACCCTTACTACTTCTGTCTACTGGTATGGTGAAGCAAAATTGACAAACTTGTTCAGCCATTGCGTCTGCAGTTGACGGCCTCTGTGGCTGTGGCTGCTCACTGAGAAGTCTGCTGCCTCTGTCTTGGCCTCAGAGCACGATGCTATACAAATATATCCTGAGCACCGGTTAGTTTAGGAGTCCAGAACAGCGAGAGGTCCAGAATAAGCCTCGCTCCAGGTCATCCCAAAGGCTTCGAAGCCAAGCGCCTGTGCCACCTCCGGTCCTTGTGCATGGTTGTGAACACGTGCCTCTCAACAGCTTGATGTGCTTTCGAGAACTGGCACTAAGCTCCCAACATCATGGCAGCCTGTACTGTCGGCCTCCAGCAACAGCATAGTGTGACTAGCATCCCAAGCTACAAGGTTTCACAGGAGCACCTTGCCATGACTCTTAGGTTGGAGGCCATCGCTGTGCAAAGGCATTACTCCACTGCCTCCACAGCCTCCTTTTACTGCATCAGAAGCAAATCCCCAAGCTCCAGGCCCACCGATGAAGCCATAAAGAGCCTTCAGGCCATAGAAATCGGCCTGACGCAATGGACTCTTCAAGTTTGAAGAGATTGGGGAAAGCGGAGCAGAAGCGCCTCCCGGAGAAGCTCTAGACGATCCACTCTGGAAAGGCCTCAGTGCAATTCACTCAACCGCTCGATTTGCTTTCACTCGACTTGTGCTGTCGCTTCTTTTCAGCAAGTTGATCCAAAAGGCCGATGGGAAGGGTTCCATCCCGCAAGTAGTTTAGGATGTGATGAAATTGCCTGCCGCAGATCTTTGCAAACTTCTGAAGCAACACTTGAACTACGGTTCTGCTCAGATTAAGGTGATTGGTGATCACATCTTGAGCATCTTGGCGAGGTGTGGCTGCATCTTTGGAGTCCTGGTCCTAGTCAACCCTCAGCCCACCTTCCGTCTCGGTCAATAAAGTAACAACCATCGGCATCCCGAAGAACCTGACTTTTTGACTCATTGACCCACTGCTCCACTACATCAGCCTTGTGGGACTGCAGAAACGAACGCTGAAGTCGCGACAGGATGCTTGCCACTAAACATAAGGCCCAACCTAGCTCCGCTCCAAACTCCAAGTTGATCAGAACAAACAGATTGTGCAACGTACAGCGAGAGCAATTTCAATCAACAAGGCTCCGGCATTGAATCAGGTTCCGCCCTCAAGGTTGCCAACGTTGTTGTCAGCCGCTGTCCACCCTCACAAAGGAAATTCAATGCCATTAAAACAAGAACAGGTCGTCAACAACCACCAGGCGCCGCACAATGTTTAAGTGAACAATCGAGGGGAACTCCATAAGCGCCTGAGAACTGTAAAAATTCCCCCTACAAAAGCTGCAGATTGGAGGCTCCAGCAGATTCATCGAAGCCAGAAGTCATGCAAAGAGGCCGTCCGCAAGGCCTTACAGCTCGTGTTTTCACCATTGACTTATTACAAACTCACAAAAGCAAGCTTGAGCAGCAGGCCTTCACTAGTGCCTGGCATGATAGAAATCGAGCTGAATGTGACAAAGTGGTTTCGCTGAAAGGTCATGCCAACGCTGCACCACAGCTTGTCACCACCTTTTCACACATTTCTTGGACTTAACTACCCATTGCCCGTCTTAGCCGCTTAGCCTTAAGCTTTCTGTTTAGAGTCCTTTGCCAAGCCTGCCACGCACACGGCGTGTCTGGCTCCGCATGGTAGAAAAGCGCGACATGTTTGGAGACAGTCGGCTTTCGTTGGTGTACCCCATGCTGCTGCAAAGCCTCAGGCCTCAGGCCGTTAGTTTCTGCGCCTCAGGTCTGCAGTGACACACCCATGCTGCTGTTGCTGCTGCTACTACTGCTACTGCTACTTATTCCAAGAGTTGAAGTAGAAGCGATGGTCCTCCCTTTCAGCTTCCGTTTCCGCAGTTTTTTTCCGTACCATTTTGACTGCAATAGTTTCAAGCTACAGTACATGTTCTTTTGTTTTCAGCGTGCAGAAGCTATGTCTTCACTGATAAAAACCTTGTCTCTTTCGCTTCAGTTCTTATCTTCTGTCTTGAGAAGCAAGGTCCATGGAGCATCTGCGGAAGCTCCAACTGCAATGTAGTGTGATGTCGAACTATGATCGAAAACATGACCTCTTTTCGACTCAGCTTGGCCAGCAGCCGTGGACGCAGAAACAATATCAGGGTCAAAGGAGTCCGTAGAAACAAACAATCTGGTCGATGGCTTCCTGTTGAAGCACCGAAGACAAAAACCACGAGCCACATCTCAGGGGACCGCACCGTCTATTCATCATAAAAGGCCACCAATCTGACCTTCATTGTTCAACAGCAAAGCTGGTGCTCTGAATGCATTCTGCACAACTAGCTCGTCCTTCCTTTGAGTTGAAGTGATGACTGTGGACTTCCTGGTATGGCACATGTCCTCTGTCTCCAATTCCCCGCCTCAATGCTCTCCCTGTCAGTGGCTTCGGGTGGGCTTGCCTCAATCAGTAACAGGGAGCTTGGGTCACGTTGCAGTGAAAACACTGCACTCCAGGCATCTGGCCAAATCTTCAAAGGAGCCATGCAAGCTGAAGGTCGCGGGCACCGTTGGCCCCTCCCCCCCCACTGAACTTCATGAAGTCTTCACCTGCACTTCGCAAGACCTCAAGTGCTCTGACTTAAGTGATTCTCCTCATGCCTCGAGAATCCCAGCACTTCAGCAGCATGGTCTCGTCTTTCTCCATCCTGACGTTAGGCTGAAAGAGTTCTTGGATGGAATGAGATTCCACTTATCGAGTCCTTGGAAAATAGAACCACTGCTGGTTGTCGGAATAACGGGCAAAGTAATTTTCGCCTGGATTCGGCATTAGCAAACTTGAAGAATGGCAAACCCTCTTCCGGCGGGCATCCTGAAGTAGGAAGCAGTACTACAGCATCTGAAACTCTTGGATTCCCACCTGTACGATCAGCATATCTGATCTCAAATACAACCAAGTCCTCAACAGCCTCAAGCAAAGCGGCAAAACATCTCTGTACAAAATGCACGGGACAGCACCGAGGGTCCTAGTTCTTGGAGTTTTGCTGTGTGGCTGGTCCTTGTTTGAATCTCGCACGGTTCCTTTTCACAGCAGCGAATCAGCTCAAGGGCCCTATTTAGCCGAGACAGCAGCGGCGGTGCATCAACTGTACGCAATACACCCTGGCTACAATCGGTAAAATTGACACCCGTCTTATCTACAGGTGTGTTGCGGGCTTTACAGTTCAAATTTTGTACAAAGGCAGCCAAGCAAACTCGATTCCCCGTGGGGCCGTAAACCATGCCTTTCCATGTCGAATTCTCAAAAAAACAAGTCCTTGTGAAACTTCCTCATCTTCCATCTTGGCTCCCTTTTCGCATGCGCCACTGTTCTCGACATTGACAAGTCCACTTTCCAGTGTCTTGAGGAGGTAGTCTGGCCTCATGCTCTTGGTCAACGGGTCTGCCAATTGCTTCGACGTCTCAATCCACCTCAGGTGGTCACCATAGGGACTGTAGATCTCCGATGTTCTCTCGCCATTCACAGTCCACACTCCTTGCCTCAATGCAGCAAGTTCTATGCCAAGCCTTTTGTCTTGTACTTTTCTCGGAACCTCTGCCAGTAAATGGTCCGATAAGCTCCTGCAATCGGTGTAATACACATGCGCCATTCGTCTCTGAGTTTCCTCGTGCCAGTTCTTGAAGTCATCAAGTCGTCCGGTCAACTCACAGATCAGACATCGTAGGCGATCTCCATGTTCGACTGCAGTTTGCAGAGCATATGCTTCTGCCTGCAATGTAGCACGACACACCCTTTTGAGGGTGGTTGAACCAAAGCTGATCAGATGCATTTTGCGACTGCCTTCCTTGAGGCTGCTCGCATTCGTTATATAGTGAATGCGACCTTGCTGACTCTTAAAGCCCTCTTCGTTTGCGAAACTTGCGTCGCTAAACGTCACAACTGCCAAATCGCTCCAGTCAATCCAATCACTCTTGAAGGTGATCTGCAAGTCACTTCCTTGAAGTGCCAATTCAACAACCTTGTTGGCGTTCTTCAAGTCTTGCACTGTTGCCTTTGCGCTGCATGCACGTTGCATCTCATTCACACGGTAACAAAGGTCTGGTCTTCCATAACCTGCGACCCAAGCCAAGCTACCAACAACGCTCCTGAGGCTTGTCAACTCTTTCTCTGTCACCTTTTCCGACAGCTTCCGATGCTTGTCGATTTCGATCGGCTTCACTGTTCTGCAGTTCTCACTTGTAGAAATGCTCACGGAGTAGTCTTCATGCTGTACGAACTGCCGTCCGCAGTATCGGAATCTGCCTGACTCGGTTTTGCCAATCGTGAACCTTTTGAGAATGCCTTCAATTGTCTTCTTGCCTTCATCAAGGTAGCAATACAACAAATCGTCGACATGTGTCGCGATCATGCCAATCAACTTTCCCTTGGGATTGTGCATATGGTGCAATGCAGGTGTGATGCGACTGCATTTCAACCCGGCACTGGTGATCTCACCATTCATCCTCAAGTAAAAGCCTCTGCCTGCGTCGATCGTGCCATAGATCGGAAGGCGTGCAACCAACATTGCATCCGGTGGAACATCCGGACTTGGAATTCCACCACGTGGCTGTTTGAGCAACAGCAACCTCGTCATTGGCTGACTCTGGAAATACGCTGAGGAAACATCTGCCGCGTACAGGGTCACGCGATGGCTTGATGCGAAGCTCGCAATCAACATGTGTCCTTCGGTCTCAGCTGTGGGGCTGTCGCAGCGGATGCCCTGTGCATCACGGCTCACTTGTTCGTGGTTTCCACAAGCGACTAGACGAGATCTGTTTTCAGGCTGATGTTCAGGCGTGCCTGTCAAATGAGCTTGTTTATCCACATCTACCCATTGCATGGGGATGGGAACATGCCCTTCTTGAAGCAACTCTTCCAACTCTTTGCCTCGAATGGGCATAGCAGCATTGAAGTTCCTATATTTGCTCCACTCTGCACGACGTGCGTCCAAGATGCGGGCCTGCATCTCAGGGGTGCAGCGGTCGTACTGCAGCGTCCGTGCCACTTTGCCAGCATGCGTCTCACTGTTTTCTCCAAAGCGCTGAGCGACGAAGGCTCGGAACTCTGCAGCGTCAAGTCCAGTGTCGTCAACTGCGGCCACGGCGATCAACGGGTGTCTTACCCGTGTAAAGACAGTGAAACCTGTCCACGCGCGAGAGTCAACGTCATCCATGCCCGGCATGGACTCGCTGGTCGCTCGACTGCCGTCTTCATAGACTTTCCTGGTCACGCGTCTTCCTCCGAATCCTTCCGGAACATCTCCGTCATACAGCGGATGGAAGTCATGGAATCTCCTCTTGTTGTGAACACGAATTGCATGACTCTCAGAGATTCTCCAATGGTCTTCATTGTCAACCATTGCAAGCATGACCCCATCGTCACCGACAATGCCTCCGGGGGTCATCGGAACTGCACTTGCGCCTGCACTTGCGCTTGCGGATGATCGGGCAGCCTTGCCCGTCTTATCTTCTGCTTGTGCTTCTCTCTTGTGTCCCTTCTTAGGGCTTGCCTCTTCGTCCATCATTCGGATATACTTCTGCTGTCCCAATGTCACTGCTTCTGGGAAAACCGGGATGTTGTTCAAAATGGAGTAGGCCGAAGATTCACTCTCATTGGCTGATCTGAGTTTTCCAGCAGCACACAAAACAGGAACACCTTCATGTAGCAACCAGATGCCATTATGCGGGTCAATGCCAATCACACGCGAAGCAGTGGACCACACGGTTCCACCTTGCTGGGTGTCACGACGGTAGACCACAAGGTCTCCAACTACAAATGACTTCTTGTTCTGGACTGCTGCATTCCTGGTCAATGCTCTTGCAACACGGGAACTTGTGTCCAAATGGATGAATGCCTTTTGTGCAGCCATGCGGGATGCATGGCACAAATGATATCTTGCTGCAGGATCAAGCTTGTTCTCCAAGATGCCTAAGTCTCCTGCTTCATCCATGTCTGTCACAGATCCTGGTACTCTTGGGTTCCTTCCCAGGACCCATTGTGCTGGAGAATAGCCTTGGACTCTCTGCATGTGATTCTTCACGGAAGTGCACTCATGCAAGCATGTCTCAAATGCATCACGGCCTACGGCTTCCATGTCATGGATGGTCTTCCTGAGAATTGCCTTCAAGATACCTTGGTGCCTTTCAACCTTGCCAATGGCTGACGGTGTCTCCAATGGTGCATAGAAGATCTCGACACCGTGCGAAGCGAACAGCTTGGACACCTCACCTCGGTTGTGGACACCTCTATCCATGATTGCAGCCTTTGGAAAACCTGCCCCACTGATCCATCTACGAAGAATGGCTTGTGCACAGGCCTCTGACGTTGGCACACCTCCACCTTCTTTGACAACCTCTGACAAATGGAATCCTGTCGAAATGTCCAGCATCGTGAGAATGCTGTACTTGTTCCCTGCATAGTCCTTCATTTCTGTGACGTCAAGGCCAAGCATGGCATTGAACTCATACTGGAAATTACTATTTCCTACCGGATGGTCACGGGGACGTGGTGCAGTGTCTTCGCAGGACTGACAACGGACAAGGCGTGCGGCTTCGATCAACTCCTTGCTTGCCTTACCTGCCTTTAAAATGTTCTTCAAAGTTGACGGTGCGGGGTGTCCGAACTGCCGATGCAAGCGACGGATTGCAATGCGAGTCCTCTGGGGAAGAGCACGCCACAACCGTCTCCGCTTCTGTTCCGTCATGTCGGCTCCGGGCAATGCAAGTTGATCTAGCGTGAGTTCTTCCTGTTCTCTTGCCGACAACGGTTTCCCATCGTCTTGTTTGGTTTCCCGGAGAGCTCCCTCAATGTCACTATCGTCAATTTCAGAGATGTCTTCAAGTTCGTCTGCAACAAAACATGTCCGTGCAAAATGCTCCAAATAAGTCTCTTCTGACATAGTGTTCAACATCTCTAGGAGTTTTGCCGATTTCGCGTCCTCAAAACACTTTGGAATCATGTTCTCTCCGCACCAACCTTCCAGCGCCTCCAAGAGCTTGGGGCTTCGCGGGCCTGCCAGGGCAAACTCTAGGTCACCACCAAGACAAATGGAATGCTCAACTGATATCTCGAGAAGTGGTGTGAAGAGAAGGAGGTTGCAGCCATACATGTCAACTTCCATGAGCATATCATTCCAAATCCTCCTGGGGTCCGTGTTCTCCAAAAACAATACAACCAAACCAGGGATCCTATTCGAAATGTGCTTGATGACCTCCTTGCGGGTCTTTACCCAGCTTGCACCTACATCGAATACCCTTGCACTCTGGAGTGCATTGATCAACAAGTCATCCTTGACAATGACCATGTGTTGGACACTCAGCGGGTTGCTCGAAACGAGTGCATGCAAGACTGAATCATTCTCTTGCAAGGTCTGCAGGCCGGCGACGAACGCTTGTTTTTCTCCCTTGTTCATAGTTCGATGATCCAGAGCTACGAATGCGTGACCTTCACTGTCGGAGCTCAGTTCGATCTCTCCTTGGAAGCGGCTCATGATGAACTTGTCTCGGTCGAGCACCTCACGCGAGCTGGTCGGACGATCCGGAGTGCTTTGTGCACTCATGGTAACTACGTCATCGTCTGACAACTCCTCTTTGGGCGCGTTCGACGGATCGATTGCTGCGCAGCCATGGAACGGTTCAACAGGTTCAGCATCACGTGTATCTTCCATGCTCTCCTCCTTGGGAATCTCATCTGCCGGTTCCACGGGTTTTGCCATCTCTGTAGCCTCTGTCTTCGTGCGCTTTGAGGGTCCTCCGGCCGGTCCGTCTTCATCGTCTCCATCCTCACCAGGTGGTTCCTGGCCATCATTGCCATCTTCCTGATCATCGCCTCCCGCGGGCTCTTCTTCCTCGACGTCTTCAAGTTCTTCAGGTCTCACGAATGGAGGTGAGAAGATCAAGATCCTGCCCTTGACATACCAGTCAAGCTCAA